GTTTCATACGGCCTAAAAAACAGCTGTCTAATTATTGCCAAATTCTTCATATTTGCACTGATATATTATGATAAAAATATGGGAAAAACTAAATTAACTTTAGCAAGTTGAGGTTTTTTGTTTTTTTTAATGCAAAATTTTACACTTTGAGTTGAGAATGGGACGTGTAGGGATGAGATTTTGCTCAAGCCATCCCTGACCCTACAATAAAAACAATAAAATCCACATTTTATCCCGTTTCAGTATGTGCTTAAGGATTTTAAAATTATTTTATACAATAGTGATTCATAATTTTAAATCATGAAAGCAATCTTTATTAAATTATTTGGAAAATAAAAAAATACATCTTCATTTGATATTTTTTGGTCTCTATCAAGTCTTTCATAGGTGTATGGCATGTTTGTTGCTCCTTTGGGGGCAAGGTTGTTAGACTAGCATACATTTGAGGATTTTAGGTTTTGAATTGGCCAAAATAATTGTGACATTGAGTGAAGACTGAAGAGTGAGATTTCTGATAACTCCTACGAGGGTTCGTATCACAAAGTAAGGTGATGATACAATGATTCCTGTAGTGACGCTCTCAAACTCTAGTGGTGCTACATGCAAAAACTCTATGTTTATTTTAGATGTTTTATGTTTATATCATAAATGAGAAATGAATGTGTATCTTTGCAAATGAGTCTTCTTAAATAGGATTCTTTGACGAGAAAGTTAGTTACATTATTTTGTTATGTCACGTAGGATGCTTGATAAGCAAGAAAATCGTTAGGTTGCCAAATAATTTTATTTTATTTAAAGCTATTTCATTTGTTATCCAAGTTCCCAATTTAGAGCTTCTTTTTATAAGTATCAAACTTGATGTAGGCCCTCTAAGGTTTATTAAAGGATAGTTCAATTATTATTGTTGATTTTATTTTGGGTAATAAATATCTTTAGAATAATTGTCCCAAAATGGTATTACTCAACAAAATTAATATTGATTTAAGAGTCAGAAAATCGAGATGACCCTCTAGAACATGTATTATGTTTATAATACGTATTGATTAGAAAATATTAACAATTATAATAAAAACCCTAAACTAAAATAAATTAATTTTTACTTCAATAAAAGGTATAGAGTAGAATTACATTCATTAATCCCTTTTTTTTTTTAGTAAATCCATAATACCTTTGGTTAAGATTAATGAACTAATTTCACATAATATTAAGATCTATTCAATGGGCTAATTTTTTTTAACAAATATATATATATATATTTTTATACACAAGCATAAGATCAAATTTATGACCACATACGTAATCTTTTGTTTGAATATGGTGAAATAGAGAAGATGGAGTTAAATAGGAGAAAAACGAAGAAGTAGAATGTTTCATTATTTAATTTAAGTGCCAACCATTTAAATTAAATAGGCAAATACTTTATTATTTTGGAAATATGACACATTGGTTTATGTCTATAAATTAATGTCATATATTTATAAAGTTATTTCTACTAGGATAAGTTTTGTCTAATAGAATTATGAAACTACTAATGTAAATATTGAAAAGAGATGCTAAGAGTACAATACATTATATCGACAAACTTTTTTGTTAGCATTGAAAATTAATTTACTATTATTGTAAAGTTTTTATATTATCTTTCAATTATTTTAAAATCACATATTTAAATAATTTTTAATTAGTTGATAATAATATATGAAAACTAATGATATATCATATACCATTAGTGTAAATCTATAATATCTATGCTAATATTTTAGTTCCCGTTATGCTGAATTTATATCAATGAATACATATGAAATGACATACCATTATTATAATATATGCTTTTTTTCTTCTTCTAGTATATCTTCATTTTCAACATTAGAAAGGAAAAAAAAAACTCTAAGCAGATAAACAGAAACGTCAAAACCCAATGAATTATCAATTGAAAAAGAAGAAATTAAAAAACGTGCACGAGCCATCTACAAGAAATAATAACAATAATGAAGGTGGACAAATTGGTGGGTTTTCAAGGGATTATGTAACTGAATAATCGTGGCCATTGGGAACAATACCGTAATATATATTTTGAACTTCAATATAAGATGGAGTCAACATGAGTGCTTAGTTGAATTTAAAATAAAGTTGCAAATGAACGAAGATATTAAAATAAATCAATTATAATGATTCTTATTATAGTAATTATGATAATTAAAAAGTAGGAAAGTTGTGATTACAGCACTAAAGAGGGGAGGCAAAGAGAAGAGAATAATAATAATAATAATAATAATAATAATGCGGGGCCCATCACTTAATCATTTTGGTCTGTAGCATGAATGCGACTAATTAATGATAAAGAAAGGTTGAGAGTGTCACTAACTAACCATAATTATTAGTAATCAAAAGAGGTTTAGCCATAAGTGTCTCTTTTCAAACATAGCATAACCCCCCAAAGAAGAGCATAAACATTGCTAGAGAGAGAGAGAGAGAGGAACACAGACTGAAACATGTTGACCAAATGTTTGTGTTTTTCACCCTCTTTGTTTGCCATTTCTCAAAGCAAGAAAGCAAGCCAGCAACCCTTTGGATTTTTTCTTGGCCATGTTTTGGGTGACATAGATCAAACATAACCCATTAACAGTTTTTGTTTTAATTATAATACATGTTTGCTCCTAATCATTTCTATATCATCTGGGTTAGTGAAAATGGACCTACAACTCCTACAATAAACATTCTGTCTTCCAAGTCAAATCTCAAATTCCTTGTCATTAGATTAATATTTCACCTCTAATATATTTCTCTCTCTTACACACATCTACAGGTGGCAAATTTTCATTGAATCAACAATATTATCTACATGACCATGCACCACATGAGTCCCCTTGAACAGTGAAATATATAGTGGGGAAAATTTTGGAGCACCTGTGCTGAAGATTTTTGGGTAGTGTTATAAACATTAAAAAATAAAAATTGTACACCACTTGAGATGGGATGGTCAAACATTTTTTTTTCTCCTTTGAATATAGCTTCGAGGATATGGGTATTCTACAAGGGATTAATTTAAAACTACTGGAGTATCCCTTAAGATACATTTGAAAGGTTTCATGTTCTTAAAAATGTGTCAAAGATGCATTTGAAAATGAAGCCCAAGTAGGAATCCATCTATTATTAATGGGACCACATTCCAAGCAAGGCAAGTGGGTTGGACACATTTCTTGGTATAGAAAATGTTAGACATCAATGATGCTATTAATTCTGTAGAGAATTATGACTATAAAAGTTCATTATAATATTGATAGTAGTATTTTTTTAATAGAATACCAATTGGCCATGCTGGGAATTTAATAATACTAGAAGGGATGATATTTTAATTTATAGGGCACTTTTAAGATCTAGGAGAAGAATCAGTTGGATAGTGTAGGGCATAGAGAATAAATTATTGCGATCTAGGGGTAGAGAAGAACACACCTGGGCTTTTGAATAGATTTGGTTTTAACTAGACTAGATTTCACTCAAATATGCTCTGGAAGTCACTAAGATCCAAAAAGAAAAGAAAAAGCTGTGCTTATTCTTGATGATAATAAATAAAATTATTAATGTGATCCTAAAACAAAGTTGAAGTGAAGGTAGGTTGAGAAAAGCTCAATAGCTGCAATGCAATCTCCTTAAGCTGGAAGCACTTTTTGAGGGTGTAAAATTTTTCAGTGATAGTTCATATTGGCCTCTATTATTGGGTTGATTGTGACAAGGTTTTATATTGTGATGAACAGTGCTTCGTACAACGCAATAAGAGCACATGGTTCAGTCAAACATGAAATTATCACAAGTGAGCCAAAATAGTTATTTGCCGGTGTATGCAAAAAGCGAAATACACGCGCAAACAGTGCTTCCTAGGTGATCTATGACATTTGTAAAATAAGTTCCATTAGGACCCGGAATTAGCATCTTTTATATTTGTGCATCTTTCAAATATGGAACTATAAAAATATTATAAAAAATGGTCATGGCGTCTGTCTTTTATAGATCACTGTCAGATTTGTAAATAATAATTTACGGACAGAATAAACTATGCAATTAAAGAAATTTTCAAACATTAAAGGATGGTTCGACATGGGATTTTCAAATTTGAGGATATGCACCCAATACCTAACCTAACCCTCGGATTGAGTTAAGAGTAATCGAGATTCCTTTCTTCAATTTAGGGAACTTAATTACTTCTTTTTCATTTTTTAATTATGAATCAGTGGGATGCTGATACTTCAATTTCTTTGTATATATATTTGCCTAGGCAAGCCAAGGACATCATTGGATAATTTGGATTTGGCTCTTGCAAAATATACACCTTACACTATTTACCAAAACGAGCTTTGAGAGAGTACAACTTAGATAGGCCCAATAACATGTTTCAAACGTTACAATTTTCCACCCTTTACCTCCTTCGGCCCATGTACATTTTTTTACCATTGAAAAGTTTATCAGCAAAAATTTCTTCTTTTTTATTTTTCGACACTCCTGATGGTCCAGGCAACCCTTTTGGGGCTGTTTGAGTCCAATTACTGTATGATGTTTTGGGAAAATAAACTGTAGAAAAGGCCTGAAATGAATATTAAAAGGGGTAATATGCATTACAAAGATATACGAATACCCTTTTCCCCTAAAAATATTGTCCACATTTATCATCTTTCCAACGGTTCTACTTCCTAAACCTTGATTTTAATTCCTAACAGATTTGTTACTTGAAATATACCTCATCTAATGACCACGAAAAAAATCAAACTTCAATCTTACGTGTTCCAAACCTAAGCAAACTTTGTAGTAAGAACGTTGAAAACATGATTGATCAAGTTCATATTTATACGTAAAAAAAAATTAATTGTATGCATAGTAAAAATTTCAAGTACAACAACAACTGATCCATTTTTCCAAACTAAAGTTAACAATTGCATCTAAAGTCTTCCACATGCCTTAAGCAAAATCTGCGGGAGTTTGTAAATCACAATAAACGAGGACATCGTTACTTGAACGACTTGAGAAAGAAGATACGTGACATAATATAGTAAATTCTAGTTTACACCAAGATTACAATATGCACCAATATATTACATATTGGAATGGTCACTCTCCTAGTTAGTTTATCTTCTAAGCTCCGTTTGAAGACTGAGATATCAAAATTGTTTATGTAGACAGGTGTTGGAAACAACTACTTAACTGAGTATTAAAGGGAATAGCTCATGTGGAACCTTAACTAAGTTAATATAATAGAACCCTTGACCACCCCATCCATCGAGGAAAATGCCAAAAGAAGTTACTGAGAGTTCAAGAAATTTGATAAGGAAGACTAACAACGAAACCTTCTATTCTTCTGTCTACAATGCAATACATCACTTGACATGGAATGCTTCACAAGGCGACATGTCATTCTTCTTCTTCAAAGTCCATGAGGAAATCAGTCAAGTTCTCTGAATCTTCTATGGCATCATCCAGTGACAGAGAACCGTCTTTCTTTGGTTTTGGCTGCATGATCAAGGAGAGGAAGGGGTGTTTTGTTGATTACACATCGTTACAGATGAAGTATGAAACATGCGGAAATATAAAATTATATATCAAAGACTTCCATTTGGATAGTTGTCCCAATAGGAGATACCTGAAAGCCTTTGATCCACCTAGGACTACTGTCTTTAAAAGGAAAACTGAAGAAAGCTTGATTGTTTCAAAACCTACTAAATGAGAAAATTTCAGATTTACATGAATACCTTTGACTTGCGAAGCTCAGGAGTACTTTTCAACACACTCCAATAATCAGAAAGCTTTTCTTCCTCTACCTCTTCCTCTCCCTCATCAAGATCACTGTCCTCTTCATCCTGCTTTAAAAAGTAAGAAACAAAGGGGGAGGGGGGGGAGATGTTAATTACAACAATCATTTAGGAATGGAACTCACTAGTCACTATACAACCACTAGCAGACTGCAGAGGGTGGTAAATGAAATTCTATAAAGATGGTGAATTGAAGCTCACGTCATTTTCTCCAATATCAACAGCTTTGGCCATAGCATCATCCATGTCTGTCATCTATCATATAGCAAAATAAAGGGTATCAGACTATGACAAATCAAAGGTAGTGTTTGAATGAAGGCTGAGGGTGCAAAAGAGAAAGTAATTGTTATGAGATTCATTATGTATAACTTGACACTTGAGTAAAGTATGAAGTTCAAGGGAAAACCAACATGGGAAAGAGAAAACACTTAAGTAATTCCATAAGAATTCTGTTGTCAATGAATTATAAAACCATGTCCTCATTCCAATTGCTTTTCATCAGCTTCAATGGAAGCTGGAAGAGAAGCTAGGCTAGCAATGTAATAGCAGGCAAAGGAAAACAAAACAGAAGTTTCACGTAAAGGTAATGGATGGTTGATGATACATGTTAGATTGAATTATTATTTATGAAAGACATTACTCCAATTTTTATATAAAGAGGACACATCATTCCTTCAGTTCATTCATTAAGGCAGTCTACATATCAGGACGTAGAAGATTAAGATACTAAGCCTTCCAACTGATAATCTTATATTCATAAATCAATAGACTTCATCCAAAAAGGCTAGCACCTGACAAATTAATACAGGTATAAAACAATGCTTGTCTGCAATTAACCTTCCAACACCCAATGCAAATCATATAAAACTAATCAATAAATCACTTCAAGAAATTAATTCCCTATATGCAACTCATGTTTTTGCAAAATAATACACAATTAGTATTATAAAGTTCAAACCTTCTTACCTCAATTTGTTCAGTCTTTTCCTTAGCCATAATCTTGTCAAATTCCTCCCTTGAAATGAGTTTTCCTTGCTGATCATATAATGAAAAAAGTTCAGAAATTGTACACAATTCACAATCGTTATAAATTTGGTGTGGGCGTGTATATATATATATATATATATATATATATATATATATATATTTGAAGAT